CCAGCAGTATTTAAAGCATGATGTACATGTACATGTATAATCACTTTTAGCTTATACAGTCACAAATACAGAATAAACAATAATGAAGTAATCACAGTCCCTTCCTCAATGTTTCTCGCCTCTCTCTCTCTTTCGCTCAATAAAAGTCTTTATTTGTAAACAGACATGTACATTAATGCAAACAGAAAACAGCCTTTCACAAATTGGATAGAAATCCACAGTTCCAGCAGTATCTAAAGCACCATTGTTCTTTACTTTTAGTCCATTATAGTCACAAAAACAGAATTACAAATACAATACGCATAATTCCTACATGGTATCTCCTCCCTCTCTCTTTCACTAACAATTTCTCATAGTATGTAATGCGTATCAATTACAGCAGTAGAAAGCATAACAGAAATAACTATAATTGCTAGCAAATACACATGCATATATTCACTATGAAAATTAAGTATATACCTGAGTAAATGTACACAGTACAATGGATGATACACACATGTACATGATTGTCAAATAGATTTAATGTCATGTACGAAAATTCTCGACAAAGGTACTGAGTTCATTATTATTTTGTCGATCACCAGCAATATATTCAAGAAAAAAATATGCCATACTTGAAATGGCAGTTGACGACAACTTTTCATTAATAGACAGCATTATTCTTCCATAGAAATAATACATCTGAGAGAACCAACTGCTTATGTACTCCATCTTTGACATCTGGAGCCACATGCAGGTGATACTTTTTGTATCTTTCTCTACCTTTGATGGAGAATATCTTCAATGCAAGCCTTACAAAAATCAATTATAACTGGTTCTACGTGTCTATTAATCACATGAACAACATTGTCATTCTTTTAATCGTTATGGAGTATCGGTCCTTTATTATGCTAATGTAAATAATTGAGTCCTGTAGCAATACCAGCTAAGATCCTTTTCTATTGGTCAATGGTCACTGACAGATGCCCGTGATTCAATAAATCGTAAATAGAACAAGACTTGCCATGAAAACAATGATAACAGAGAATCAAACAATTATAGCCTCTAGACCTACTCATAATACCATGATGAAACGTTACATTATGATTGCAACAGTATGATAGTATGTGTGCCTCATTCATTACAACTTTGATACAAGCCATTTGTGGCCCAATAGTTGACAAGTAACACTTGCCAAATACACCTCCCAACATATTCGTCTTGGAAAATGTAACTTCATGTTCTTGAAATTGACAAATGTTATTCAAAAGAGATTTATCATTAACTTTCATATTAGCAGGATTAGCAGCTAATGGCTTTGTTGCTCCTCCCCCATGGTAAACAGAGCTTGCTAGTCCAGATGTCAAATGCCACTTTCTTTCAGTAGTTCTAAGTAATGACCTAAACACACAATCACATAAATACAAGGCATATATAAATATAAGGCCTTTTAGTGTCATATTCCTATTCAACTCCTCGTTTTTCCCAGCTAGGGCTTGAGACTGACGATGACATTTATCCTTCTCCATTTTTAAGAATTCAATCCTTTGCTTCATACGTTCCTTTCTTCCTTTGCCTCTTTTCTTTTTTTTCCATTCTCAGTGTTCTGTAGTTTGCTTTTAGGCTTTTTATCAGATTCCATCGTGGATTCCATCACACAGTCGATCAACGTACATGAACACACGTGTAAAAACCACTCACTCGAATTGGCTAATTTTAATTATTTCTGTTTAATCAATAATAATGACTATTTTTGTTACTATTATTCTAAAATGTCTTTCCACTACAACAACAGAGCATCATGAATAATTTATTATGTATGTAGCATTAAAGATTTCTTTTGAAGTCCACTAGCATGATAATTAATAGCATTAATGCACTTTGTCCACAATGCCTCAAACTTTACTGTATTATCTGAATAAAGAGTTAGCATCTTTTGCTTTAAGGCATCAATTTTTTCTACTGGTATTCACTTATTACCTGTAAGTCCATACACTGTGCATTGTTTTAACACTTCTGTGCCAAAGTAAGATTCGACAGCTAATCTCAGCTAGTCTTCCTGCATTTCTGTACTTGGGATATTTACGAACTACAACATCTGGGTCTAGCAGTAATGGCTCTTGAAATACTGGCGACTGACCTTGTAATGACATCTAATTACATACAGGTGGAGCAAGTGGTGGTGCAGAATCTGACAAAAGTGGAGCTCCTGATGGAGTAATCGCTGGCTGATGAATTAAAAGGGACTGAGCAGTCAATTGTTGTACCGAAGTGAGAGATTGCTGAACAGGAGTAATTGACTGGTGAACAGGAGTGACTGGCTGGTGAACAGGAGTGACTGGCTGCTGAACAGGAGTGACTGGCTGCTGAACAGGAGTGATTGGCTGCTGAATAGGAGCGACTGGCTGGTGAACAGGAGTGATTGGCTGCTGAACAGGAGCGATTGGCTGCTGAACAGGAGTGATTGGCTGCTGAACAAGAGCAACTGGCTGGTGAACAGGAGTGACTGGCTGGTTAAGAGGAGTGACTGGCTGGTGAACTGGAGCGACTGGCTGGTGAACAGGAGTGATTGGCTGCTGAGCAGGAGTGACTGGTTGCTGAACAGGAGCGACTGGTTGCTGAACAGGAGTGACTGTTGCTGAACAAGAGCGACTGGCTGCTAAACAGAAGTGATTGGCTGCTGAACAGGAGCGACTGGCTGGTGAACAGGAGTGACTGGCAAATCAATATCTGGCGGAGGTGAATTCATATAATGTTGAACAGAATGTTCAGTAACTGGCATCAATTGAGGCTGGGTCTCATGACTCTGTTAATAGATGTGATACATGTAAAGTAACCATGTACTTACAATTTTTCCAAATAAGTGTGTGGCTATGTTTCAGTACTGTGACATTAAAAAAGAGTATTGGTTCTTGAACTTCTCAACTCTACATGCTAAGGAATTAAATGCTTCTACATGTATACAAATAATCACAAATAATCATGTTTTTGAAAAAAGAAATTTTACCCAGGCTTAAAACCTGTACTGCAAGGTGATACATAATCCGTAGCAGTGGATACAACAGGTGTTACAGTAGGCAGGCACATGTTATTTGACGGCAAAGAAGAATTAGCTGATGAAAGAACAAAAGAAGTTTCAGTGCTTTGTGTGGTACCAGAAAGTACTAACGAAGATACAGCATCGATTTTGAATGTTTCCTCTGACTGTATAATAGGAATAATAATGCAATATTAACACTAGCTCACTTTTATTTTTCCTTTGCTTCTGTGGTTCTGTTTTCTTCTTTTCTTGCTTCTTGAAATTTGTAGATTAAAGTATAAGTTTAACAAACGGTAATCACTTTACTTTGTTTTAAACTTACGATCAGCTTTCTTCTTTCGTTTTTTAGGAGGTGGCTTACTAACCACTGGCTCTTCATTTTCTTTAAAACTATCCCCGCTATCATCATCATCCCACACTCCCTCTAGAAAGTCTGGAGTATATACGCCAGCAAGAAATTGGCCTTCTACATTTATACAGTCATCTTTACTACCTATAGTAATATAAAAGCTTAGTATACTCTATGGCACTAAACTAGGCTATACCATATGTGACAACTTTCAATAGAAGAAGATGAAAGAAAGAAGGAAAAAAGTCTGAATAATTTTGCAGAAATTTGAATTTGGGCCTTTTCCCCAGAGAAGCTCCCCCTACATTACAGTCCACTTCAAAGGTAACAGGACAATTGCTCAGTGAAGAGGAGCTCATCTAAGCCATTTATAAGACCGTACAATGTAAGATAAAAGACTTTTAAGCGTTTGAAAAATATAGATTTGGCCGCCATCTTGAAAAATCAACCTCAACCCTACATATAGGCTACTGCCTATATAATACACATTCATGTCGTGCCCCTCAGAAATGCGATCAACTGTCTTAAAAGTTTCAGTGTGGGAGAGACATATCATTAACGGTTGTTAACAGTTTAGACATCATGATCCTACTCTACCTCGTTGGTGCATCTGTTGCCATATAAAATTACAGAAATTGCTCACTGAACTAAAGAAATTTGTCTTAATCTTGATTTCAAGACAATCTGCATATCAGGCACATCAAAACAATTCTTTACCCCCAAGTATAGTTGTCAATACCTTTATTAAGGTTGGCATCTCACAAGGAAGCTCTATGTCCACAGTATTCCTACTAAAACATTTAACCCCTTCACATGAGTCACGAAGAATGGAGTCGTTTCTAGACCTAATCTTCATATCTTGTCTTTTCGTGCGCCACACCTGCCCCAAAAAATTGTGTTGTGTGACTTGATGTGGCCATGAAGGATGCTAGATAATTGTAATTCTCACGTGCGAGCCGTTTTACTTTTTTCCTTGAAAATGGAGACGCCACTTTGAACAACTTAATACCAGACGAATATTGAATATTTACCTATAATTATGTTTTTGTAATATTTATACAGCATTATTGTGTGCTCACTTACAGAAACAATATCTTTCTCTTCATCTTCAGATCATTTCTTGTTGGGTGTAAGCTGGACAGTTGGCTTCATATTCTCATCTGTTGTTGCCATGCTCTGAGGCTGATGCTCTACCATCATCAAACTATTAACATGGTGTTCAATATATTCATACAATCAATATATCCTGGATTAATTAACACATTCAATATTCATGACTTGTCACCACATAGTTACATGTGGTCAGCTTTATGGACACATATATACACAGATCTCAGAAGAAGCAGAAAAACAGTTTGTTTGTCTCGTTCCTTTGTTCATCATTCATTGTTCATCTCTATCATTCAGAAAATAATTTATCAAACTATTTTAGTAGTGTGAATGTATGTTGCTATTTTGTTTTTTATCATTTGCTGTAACTTCTTATTCTCACTCTTTGTAAAACATTCCCATTCCTTCATTTCCTCTTCCCTTTCTAACTCTCTCTCTCCTTTTACTATTTGGCCAAGAATATTTGTGATCCTCCTAATTCAGTCATAGAATCACACTACATTGGTGACCCTGACTCAGAACATGGCTACCTCACCTAGTCTAGATACTCTAGCCTCTATTTCTCTAGATCTACCGCCTTACTGGCCTGCCGATCCTTATATCTGGTTCGTTCAAGTAAAAGTGCAATTCCAGACAAGAAAGATCACCTCTCAGAAAACCAGATATGACTATATCATTGCTTCTCTCTCACCAGAAGTAGCTATGGAGGTATGTGACCTCGTCCTCAAGACTCTTGACTTAGATCAATACAACCATCTCAAAAAAGCTCTTATCGAGTGGACAGCTGCCTTAGAGCAGCCGCGGCTACAGCAGTTGTTCACCGGGCAAGAACTTGGTGACTGTAAGCCTTCACAGCTACTGAGTAGAATGGAGCAACTGCTGGGACAGTCCGCTGAAGAAGCCCCATCTTTCCTCAAGGAGCTCTTCTTACAAAGGCTGCCCATTGGAGTCAGAATGGTGCTACCTTCAGCCAAGTCTGATACTCCTTTGTCAGAACTTGCTCTCCTGGCTGACAAAGTAATGGAAGTATCTGCACCACCACCTCCTGTCAATAATGTCTCAGAGAGTGATTCACTTGTTACTGAGGTAGCACAGCTGAGAGAGGAGGTAGCTCGCCTTACACAATTGGTCAAGAGTGCAAGTAGAGTAGTTTATGTGGTGATGATTAAGGTGAGCTTCCTACTTGTCTATGTCTAGTGTGTGTATCCGTATATGTAACTGCATTTGGTTGTTGCTCAATTTTAATTGGTGATAATAAATGAGCCTCTATCTCTTTTTGCTAATCAGAGGCTGAACCAATTGAATAGTGTTTCCATGATAGCTACGATGTTGCCTACCTTGATATACAACAGCATGTGTCTGTAGCATATCGAAGTTGTCAACAGAAGCAATGGTTGCTATCCTAGGTGAAAGGTTTTTCCATTTATTATTAATATGTGTCTGGCTTTCAGCAAGATAAGTCACAAATCTATTGTGACTATCTGGAGAAGATACACACCCTAGTTTATTCAATATGCATAATAGCTGACTTGACCCACCATTAGCTTCAATGATATCAGTAAGTACAATATGTGTTGGTAATTTTTCCTATGCATTAGTACAATTCAGCAACAGCCATATAATAAAGAAAGTTTTGACTGAGTCATTAGACTTTGACTTTGAAATGTAACGATCACGAACTGTCTGTGTAGCTAGCTCCAAAAACAGATCAAATTCGGATCTATTTTGCTAAGAAATTCTTTCAGTGGCAAATGAGGCATTTCTGGCAACTTTGAAATATTCTTAATTTTATTGTGTAATATATCATATATGATTAAAGCACTCACACGCAACTGCTCTTTCTTGTCATCATTACGCATTGTAGTAGGTTCACTTGGTGGACTACCTAAAGTTGGGATATTAGTGACATTCAGCTGTGCACATGCTCTGAGAGCCCGACATTCTGCAGTGCACATGCTCCTAGAGCCCAAGATAGACTTGTAAGAATGTCTCAATTTTTTCAGTGGAGTATTGTACCAAAGAGCTGGTTGATACAGATAAAATCTAACAATAATTATTTCTTTCAATTATAATTAAATGATGAAGTAGCCAGTGTGAAGAAAACTTTCTTTTGCATTTTCTGTTTTAATATTAAGTGTCAAAGAAGAAATACTGCATTTAGGCTTTTCCCCTGTATAGTGCTCCACAAAAACATTACATGCAGCACTCAAAAGTAAGGCTTTATTTTGTCAAAAATTATGCGCGACAGCAATGAGTGTTTCCAAAACAAATTTTGTTACCTAGGAAGTATTTGGTTCGTATTAAAAAATAAGCCACTGATTTATGTTACGGTTTAAGTCATTTTCTAGTTCTTTCTCTAACTCAGTTTGTAATTGCAGGTGTGCTTTATAGCAAACCAAACAATACATCTTCGTTTTCAAGAGTCTGACCTAATATGTCATAAATAGTAGTTGGATCAGGGCAATGCTGTGTAAACGACTTTCCTTGTTTGGTGTGTGCATTGCAGCTAACACAATTAATGGGTTTTAGTTTTCTATATACATCATAGTAATGATTTTTAAATAAATAAATCTCTTATTTACTAAAGTCTATTCACTTTCACCTGACCCCTGGCTTTTTTCAATTAATAAATAACTACGTCACATCCGCATTCTTTACGTGTTTGTGGTTTTGGAATTGTTTTTGTTGCGTGGAAGGGATGCAGATAAGTAGCAACTGAATTTATTCTGGCTGTTCTAGCTGCATAATTGTGGTCAAAGGTATGTCATTGAGTTTATACAGGGACATCCAAATAAGGCTAAGGCCTTATCATTTTGACCCGATCTTTTTATGTAATGGACGGGAAGGACCTAGCGATTCTATTGGTGTAAACAAAATTTCTAAATTCCATGTTTATCAAAAGTTATAACAAAAAATCAATAGGTCAGGTGAAAGTGAATAGACTTTAGCAAACTCTCCAGCACTCATCAACTTTTCATAAAAAGCAAAAGATGCACAGGTGATTTTGGTTGTTGCTGATGTTAGCATACAACCATTATACATGCAAGTCACTGGATTACTTGTATTTGTTACTTGTATTTGTTACTCTCTCTTTCCATTTAGGAACATGGCTGTCATTGTTATAGTGCCGTTTAGCTTCTACTTGATGTCTTTTACAAATTGGACCTTCAAGCGGAACTTTGCCATGATTTTTTCAATATAACTTCATACGTTGATGTAAATTTGAAAAGATAGTCATATGAGGGCTAAACTTAACACATTATAATACAGCTCATAGTAGTGATGATACCTGTAATGTTTATAATACATCTAATAACTAGCACAGTACATTTTTAGCTATAACTAAGCAGCAAAAAAGGACACAGTTAAGCAACTCCATTATGTTATAGAGTATGCTTTTTTCTTTCAATTGATACCAATATTGTAATGGCTTAGCTCAAAAGCCAGTTTAGTTCTACTAATAAAAACGTTATACATTATACATTAATTTGACCCTTACCTACTCTTGTTCACTTTTAACCTAAGAGGAGCACTATAAAGTCACGTGAAGGTCATCTATAAGTTTATTCATTGTTTTATTAGTATTCATAGTTTCACATGAATATCATTTAAAGAAATATATGATTTTAAAAAAATAAAGCCAGAAATTGAGTAAATAATAATTACAAGTGTGCGTGGGCGTCACTTCTGCAAGCTTATCTTTGTTTCCTGAACAGAATTATTGATGGTTGAATTTGAGCTGCATTGTTCACAAAGGCACCTAAAAAACCAGAAGATGATTAAAGTGGCCCAATACAAAAGAATATTTATTTTTAAGAGTGACAATATGCCAACACGCTTGTATGACATGACTTACAAAGGCCATCGTCAATATTTTTGATTTGAGTCTTCCATATATCCGCAACTTTATGTAACAACATTGTTTTCAAATTGAGATTTTTGTCGAGTTACTAAAATCATGCACCATCATCACACATATCCAGATAAAAGAGCAAAAAGATTAAAAAAGAGTAGAGCAGTTATACATAATAGACAATATGGACAAATATTGCACAAATATAGTGTATTAGTATCGTTCCTTTAGCCAATCGAAGTATTACACAAAGTTCTAGATATTGGAGAAATAATAGAACTACAAAAAACCTGAAATAGTGCTCAATTATTATTCAACTTTCAATAATCCTAGATGAACGACAGAGTTTATATAAATCATAAGTATGTTGGTGCAAGAATATTTTTATGGGAGAAGTACTTTACAAGCTAGCATTATAGGAATCATACCGTATTTCCATAAATAAAAGCCAGGGTGTCTATTTCCTAAAACGGTATTTGGATCTAAAAAAAATATTTTAAAAATAATAAAAGCGGGATTCAAACCCGCAACCTTAAGCATTACACTTACACTTATGGAACTTCAGGCATTATCCAGTAACTACAGAGTTACTCCTGGGCTACTGTTGCGTATTTATACTTTCATTCTATTGGTACCCCGGCGTTTATTCAAATCTGGCTTCTATTTAAGGATAGACATTACATATATCTATTAATGGATACAACTTACACTTAAACAGAGCATTGAAAGAATCAGAACTATACAACATGCAAAATGCATTTTGAATTGACCTACAATAGCTTCTTGGTGATGGTTTCATAGCAATGATGATTGTATAATCAGTTTCACTAGTCGCGAGTCATAATTCTATTCTATGTAGTATTTGCTGCATTAATAAGGTTTTAGTTGTGATATCTAAAGTCCTTGTTTGTTTTTTTCATACATACATGCTACCATGTACAACTTTACACGAGTTGTTTTTTTCTTCATTTATAGCAAAGTCATGGCAGGTGCAGTACTGATAATTCTGTAGTGTCACGCAACACATTTTCTACTTACCGTATATCCGGAAATTTTTACTGTAATTTTTATTTCGCGAGATAAGAAATTCGCGAAAAATTAAAACTTTAAAAAGTTGTTATCTTAAAAAAAATTGTTATATAATTTTTGTACTATATAATTTTTATAAAAACATGACACGTTAATAGCAATAAGTCAGAGATAGAACTGAGAGGAGTCACAGCTGCTAGTATGTCGATTTTGAAGTACTCTGTGAGATTTCCCGATTCATCTAAGATGCCTAATCCTAGTAGGATATTATCCAGAGAGGTGCCATCTTTGGCTATAGTAGCTGCTAATAAAGAGGTTAGGCAACTTACCTCGAAAAGTCGGCGGGGTAGCTATCATAAATATACGTCTAAGGAACGTGCCGATATCAAAAGATATGCCCTTTCGAATGGTGTACAGGCAGCTAAACTAAAGTTCAGTCGAGAAATGAAAGTAAAGATTAATGAAAGCACTGTCAGATTGTTTAAGAATCAATATAAGTTGGAACTGGAAGTGAAACTTGCTGGGGCTGAATTTGAAAGCCGGGACCACCACAAATTCAGTGCTGAATGTGAAGAAGAGAGGAAGAAAGCTACTGTTAGGAG